CATCAAATAATTTCTGATCAGCTCATGTTCTTCATCTTCTGGCAGCAGCGGACTGGCAATTGTTCTGGAAATGCCCATAACAGCTGTCAGCTCGTGGACCGGTCCTCAATTTCCACTGTGAGTCGATTTGTAGGGGAAAATTCTAGGGCGATTTTTTGATCCCAATCCGCCCCTGTCTTCTGGAGATACAGTTCTTCTCGTCAGTTTCATCACATCACTTCTGATCAGGCTCATGTTCGTCATCTTCTGGAATCATGGTTCTTCTGGTCAGCTTCATCAAATCACTTCTGATGTGCTTTTGTCGATCATCTTCTGGAGACACGATTCTTCTCGTCAGTTTCAGCAAATAATTTCTGATCAGCTCATGTTCTTCATCTTCTGGAAACACGGTTCTTCTGGTCAGCTTCATCAAATCACTTCTGATGTGCTCTTATTTTTCATTTTCTGGAGACATGGTTCTTCTCGTCAGTTTCATCACATCACTTCTGATCAGGCTCATGTTCTTCATCTTCTGGAAACACAGTTCTTCTGGTCAGCTTCATCAAATCACTTCTGATGTGCTTTTGTCATTCATCTTATGGAGACACAGTTCTTCTCGTCAGCTTCATCAAATAATTTCTGATCAGCTCATGTTCTTCATCTTCTGGCAACTGTTCTGGAAAAGCCCAGAACAACCGTCTGCTCTTGGACCGGTCCTCAATTTCCATCGTTGGTCGATTTGTAGGGGAAAATTCCAGGGTGTTTTTTTTTTTTTTTATCCCAATCTGCCCCTGTCTTCTGGAGATACAGTTCTTCTGGTCAGCTTCATCAAATCACTTCTGATGTGCTTTTGTCCTTCATGTTCTGAAGACACGATTCTTCTCGTCAGCTTCATCAAATAATTTCTCATCAGCTCATGTTCTTCATCTTCTGGAAACACAGTTCTTCTCGTCAGCTTCATCACGTCACATCTGATCAGCTCCTGTTCGTCATCTTCTGGAGACACGTTTTTTTCTCGTCAGCTTCATTAGATCTCAGGACCAGGGGCTCAGCTGGCCCCTCCAAACCAGTCACCATGGGAACAGAAACAGAAACAGAGTTAAGGCGTGTGCACATTCAAAATAAGCTACTGTGGAATTATTTCTTACCTCATGTTTGTTTATTATTATTAGAGTCAAATGATTTTAATAAATCAAGATGACTTACAATAAAACACCTAAACCTAGAGAGGAGAAGCACTCCCATCTCTGCAGTTACAATTCTTAACAGTACTGTAAAAAATTGTACTGCCAAGAATTGTAACTGCAGAGATGGGAGTGCGTTCACTGACTTTTAAAAGAAAACAAAACAAACACCCAATGTACATACTTTCACAAACAAAACAACAATCATTCAGTTACAAATGAATCAGAACAATTACAGTCATTCAGAGAGAAGCAGGGAGTGTCCCACTGACTGGTGAGTTAGTGAACAAACCCACATCTCAAGATACAATCATTCAAAACAGTACAAGTCTCCAAAGAGACTATTTCTTTCAGTAAAATACACATTTGATTGGATTTGAAATGGTACGTTACTGGCCATACAATGTGAATCCAACACAACAAGAACAGGAGATATGAGTGAACAAAGCCACACCTCCACACTTTATGATTATTCTCTCATAGTTATTATAATGAGATTTGCAGTTGTTAAGAATATGGCCTCACTGCCTTAAAGCTCCGTATAATATACTTTTTTGTATAACATAGTTAGTCCTTAGTAGTTGTAATACTAAGTACTATAAAACACACTCTCACCGCTAATCCTCCTATGCCCAGAAAAACACAAGGAAATGCAAGGTGTACTATGCAGGAATTTCTGTCAGACTGTAGTACTCTGATTAAATTTAAATCAATTAGCACCCACTTTCTCAGTACAAACTAACCTGGGGCCCAATCGCATATTACATGTATTATAATTAAGATTAGACAGTTACCAGTCACTCAATTAAAATATAGTCAATGATAAAACTTTACATTTTATCATCAAAGTTTTTATGAAATCCTATATAATAATCCTTGCTTTTTTCCTGCTTAAAAACTATAAAACTCATTTTCACCTCAAACTCAAAGAATAGTAAAAAGTCAAGTTGCACTATGCAGGAATTTCTGTCAAACTGTAGTACTCAAATAAAATTTTACATTAATTAGATTTTAGTCAGTGAAAAGAGTAAAATTTATTAATTTATCATTATTATTATTATTATTATTGTTGTTGTTGTTTGCTTGTTGAAATCCTACATAGTGTTCCCTACTTTTTATTACTTTTTTTTGTTTCTTTTATATATATATATATATATATATATATATATATATATATATATATATATATATATATATATTTTTTTTTTTTTTATATATATATATAAATATAAATCTGTATAAAAATCTAAAATCTGTAAAAATCAAAAAGTATAAGGTGTACTATGCAGGAATTTCTGTAAAACTGCAGTACTCAGATTTGAATTCAATAAAAATTACAGTTAACTCAACAAGAAAAGGTTATGTCTTATCACCAATGTTTGTTGTTTTATGAAATCCTACATAGTATTCCTTACCTTCAATCTATTCGTTTTTAAAAATCAATCAATCAAGAAATCAATCAAGAAATCAATCAAGAAATCAATGGGATGATGGGCGTGGTTGAAGGTGGTAAAATTCGCCGCATTGAGCCAAGCTCTGAGTCTCAGAGGCTGAGTTCAGTCCTCGTCCGTCTCAGAGTCTTGGAGTAGGTGGTGGTGGTGGAACCTGAAGTGTCCAGATGTCCTAGCGGAGGTGGAGGACCTTGGGTCAGAGGTGGAGGGGTCTGCGTCGGAGGTGGTGGGGCCTGGGTTGGAGGTGGTGGGGCCTGGGTCGGAGGTGGAGGGGCCTGGGTGGGAGGAGGAGAGACACGGCCGCTTGGAGCTAGGGTCGTCCTGTTCTTCATTGTCTTCATCCCTGACGCGCTTGTGTCCGCTGAGAGGAATGAAGTCCAGAGCAGGACCCACAGGAGGAGGACATGGAGCAGCAGGAGAGCTGGGTGCTTGCGGCTGAGGAGGGGGGGTCGGAACACGATCCTCTGGCTCCACAGCTCGAGCAGGAAACATCCACCGGGCCGCCCAGAGACGAGCTAAGGCGTTGACTGCTTCCATCCGTACTTCCTCTTCAAGGAACACTCCCCTCTCTTCTTCCTCTTGGATCAGCACTTCCCTCTCTTGTTCCTCTTCATCCTCCTCTTCTTCCTCTTCGTCCTCCTCCGCGTCACTCCAGTCCTGAACTTCATCAGCTGGCCCGTCGTTCCAGTCCTCTTCATTACCTAACCCAAAATGAAACCAAGGACCGCCTACCTCTAACTCACCTTGGTCCTCCAGGTCCAGAGGGTCCTGAACGGCCACTGCAAAAGATTTGACAATGTTAAAGACCCTTCAATTTGTAGCTGGAGCAAGTCAGACTAGTACCACAGGCTCTACTAACGCATACTACTCCTACTACTCACAGTTATTTAAGTAACATATCAAAGGTGTATGGTTTATGTCTGGAGGAGCCAGAGTTTGCAGGGACGATTTGTTATTTTGATGTTTGCGTCTAAACTAACTGTAGGTTTATAACAATGATTCTGATCAGTTTAGATGGCCTATTTTACTGTTACATCTATTGTGGTGTATTCCAAATTGAGCGTTTCAGACTGGCTGAATACATTTGGTTGTGTATGACATTGTCAATACAGTGCTGCAATGCATGGTTCAAGAACAGCAGGAAAATAGGAACATGCGATCAAAATCAAGATAAATTATACTATAAAGAAATACAATAGACACAACACTGTCAGCTGAGTAAAGCTATAAGGATACAAAACTGCACAATAAGTGGCTCTGACTGTAGTTATGAACAGTGCAGCAAATGGACAAGAATAAACAGTAGAGAAAGTGACTTGAGTATACTATATTATGTGTACAATAAGTCACTATAACTATGTATTATTTACAGTGCAGCATATGGACAAATTAAATCAAGTGACTTGGGTGAAATGTATCCGCAAAGTCATTATATTACAGTATTGCACATGATTAGGCCTACTACAGGTGGTAAAGACCTACAGCGCTAAAAACACACCATTTTTATTGTGAATTTCTGGACTTGGGTCATACTTGAGTACATAATTGAGTATATAATTATATTTTAAAGAATATAACCAAGCATTAGGCTACAGTACATTTTGCAGGGTTCTCGGTTTTTGCCTGGCCTGGCCTGGCCTTCCGTTATGTGGGCCTATTTGATGAATGAGTTCATAATTATGAATATAGTTATGGATTATTAGTTGAAGCCTTTAATTAAGCATGTTTTTTTATAGTTTATGGACTATATGGTGGGGCCTATAAGTTTTCTTGCAGTGATTTGAGTCTGGCATCTCCTCCTAAACCAAACCTCAAATGGAACGCTCAGATTAAATCAAACACCGGGGTTTCTATGGAGATCAAAAGTGCATTGTTTAAACATTCCAATTTAGCATGGCTATCCTAGCGCCATGTTTAAAAAAAAAATGCCACTCAAACCCTGATGAATTTTGACGTTCAGAAAATACAAGACAAATTATTTCCTATAAATGTGACGATAGCGTTTCATTACGCACTCGTGCTGATATGTTTAGAGCAGTTTCACGAGCTATCATGACCCAAAATGAAATCGTTGAGTAAAAGTCACAAACTTTCAACTTTCATAAACCTGCGTTAGGAGCCAAAACCTTACACCCAGGTGGACAAAACTCTTCTTGTCATTAAGTATTGTGACTGTCTTATTAATATGTATCATAATTTATCATGTTAGAACGTTATTTGACTAATTTTACCTTCGGGGGCGAAGTCCCGGTGGTCGAGGAGGAAGACGAATCCACCCATGGTGAAGTAGTCCCGGTTTGGTGCGTTTTCAAACCTTCAAAAATGTGAACAGAGAGTTACTGAGTGTTGCGACAGTGTTTTATAACCGCTGATGGGCTAATAAGAGATGAATATCAAAGTTACCTACAAGTGTCTACAGAGCGTTCAAGAAGCTTTCTCTCAGGTGAGAAGTGAGCAACTGAGCGAGCGCAGCGGCTTATATAGTGCGTCCAGACGTTCTGTTGCTATGGCCCCGGCGCACGACGCACCTCCTGACCGTACGTCTTTACGCCTTTGACTTGTCAGTAGCCTAATAGGCAATTCATTTTAAGAGGATTATCATTAAATTAGTGCCTGGTCCATGCGTGGTTTTACTTGTAACCTAAAAGTTATAATTTATTTGACAAGACCACAACTCTGCTGCCAATACCACTACAGAGACCAGCACTTTAAACAGCAGGATTGAGCCGAGTCATCGAGTCATTTATTTTCCATTATCATGAATCAATACGGCCTATGGGAGCCTACAGTCAATATTGTCCTATCAGTTTTACCAAAACACTGCTTTGTAATACATTCCTCCACCTCGTTCCTAGAACACAGCTCTGCTCCATCCTCCGGGCCGATGTTGTGCCATGAATTTCATTAATGTTCGGTACAGCCTCGTCCCCCTCGGGGTTTTCCGGAGACACTCGGGCCTCGCCTCTGCTCCAGACCTGCGCCCTCCTCCTCCTTCACCTCCTTCTGCACTTGTCCGAGTCAAACGCGCTACACATTACAGATTCGTAATGGTGGGTATGCCAAAAAATGTGTCCATGGAGATAAACAAGTGTAATACCATACTGTGGAACATTGTAGGCAAAGCAATAATAACACCGTGTTGAATGTGCACAACATAAAAGTTACACAGTGCAACTTTAAAGAAAATACTTAAAATATGTTAGGTTTAGAGTTTTCTTTATTGACAGCATTGAGAGACAAATGCAGTAAACAGTATTTCTGTCATTTGACTTTCCCACATGCAATTCTAAAATTTGTGAAAACAGAAAGGAACAGTGATTTTGAGAAGATCAGTTTTGTGACTGAGAGCAGAGTATTGATGAATATTAAAGAAGAGAGTCCTGGTTTTTCATATTTCTGATTCACATTTACTGTTATGTGCATTGAGAGAAGACTGTAAAATGTGTAAATAAATAAATAAAATCTGGGCAAAGACAGAAAAAAAATAAAACGTGCAAAAAATTAGCTCAGTGAAATAGAATTGTCAAGTGCAGTTGTGAATATAATATGACTTTTAAATTAATAAACTATTGATTCAACAACAGGACTTTGAGTCACAGGGCTGCAAAAATGGTCACAATTGAAATTAAATCACAATTTTTGATCAAATAAATAACAAGCAGCTGTTACATAATAGAATTTTCTCTGCAAACAACAAAATATCCTGTCTCCATGAGGACTTACAATGTATAAAAGCTGCTAACCCTGAAGCTCAGACCTTAGACAAACATGTTCTCAAATGCAGGTCAGGTTGTTTCAAATGTGCTAAAAACATAAATTGCAAGTTTGTACAGTTGATGCCACAAAACATACGTTATTATACATTAAAGGCACTGTAGAGTAGAATAGAATAGAATAGAAAGCCTTTATTGTCATTATACAATAGTATAATGAAATTCAGATTCAATGTGCATTATCTTTCTAATTTTTGAAGAAATATTTGACCTGCTCCAGTATATATTGTATAAGCACCTTTGAGGTCAAAATACGTATGTTGTGTACTGTCTGCATCTAATTATAAAGTGTTTTATTGTCAGAAAATCAAGGGGAAGTGTGTAGCAGGTATTGGGCCAGAACAACCACTAATAGTTAAAAATATTTGTGTGGGGAGAGGTCAGCACTGAAATAAACTAAATGAGATGCCGACGTTAGTTTTGTGTTGCCTTGGCTTTCTCTTACTGCCGATTAACTTTAATTGTACATGGGTACAATACAAAATTACAATTTACATACAAATTACATTTAATTACAATATTCCTTCCTATTTGTTACCACTCTGTATTAACAGTTTAAGTTTCCATTGTTCTTGGGTAATAACACCATAACTAGTAAAAAATAATGTTCACTGCATCAAATGTCCTGTTTATTCCAAATTTTAAAAAATATCATAAAATGACTTAAATCTAGCAGGATAGCATAACTTGTCCTGACATCACTTTAACAAGTGTACCTTTTGGTTTTAATTGTATCAAAATATTAACAAAATAACAATACCGTATAACAACAACAACGAATACAAAGTGTGTCTTTAGCTCTTTTAATAAATAAACGGGCTGGAGCGGCCCAACTAACAAGGTCTAGACTAACGCTAGCGCGGGAGTTAGCATAGCGCGCTAATCAAAGATTTTAAGAGAATAATCAAAATAACAAATGTCAAGCGGCTGTTACAACAAAAGTTATACTCTTATGACTTCATGTGAGTCAGTATTATGGTTGGTGGGACTGTGCCAACCTGAAATAAACATAATGAGACGGAGATGCTCTTTTACTAGACCCATGGTGTTTCCTCGGCTTTCTGTTACTGTCGATGAACAGGAAGCAGAACCCAGAGCGCCTCCAAACCGTCTCACTGCGTTTGATGCCATCTGGTGGACAAAATTGGAATTGGTATTTAAAAAAAATTCTGAAAAATTATTCAAAATGAAACACCACCACTATTTCTCATTTACAAAATTACATTACATTAAATAAAAACTATCTGACCACATGCGGTCACGGTCACTCACGGTCACAAGTGCATATTAGCATGCTAATTGCTGTCATTGGTTTCTCAGAGTTGTGAAAAGTGTTTATGGACCACTGCAAACCACTTGAACCACTAATGAACTAGTTCCATTTATAACAATTTAAAAATCAGGTACAGAGCCTTTAAATGACTGAGAATGTGTTACATAATAATTAACCAGACAGCCAATAAAGTTTAGTCTTTTTTAACATATAACATTTATTTGTGGTTGTGGTGCAGTGGCTATGCATGCAGCGAGCACACATTTATTTATTTTATTTTATTTTTTCATTAACTATATCAAAGCTTATATTTACTTGTAAATCATGTAATACAAGCTTCCAATTTATGCATTTAATTCTGGGAATAAATTATCTGCTTTTTGCAATCCATGCATTTTTGCAGAGGTGGGCACTTGCAAGTCGTGACTTGGACTCAAATCAGACTTGAGTCACTATTTTATTTTGTTTTTTAACTTGAGACTTGACTTGATAAAATAGACGAAGACTTGGGACTTGACTTGGTCTTGAAGGTCAGTGATTTGGGACTTGACTTGTACTTGAGGCCTGTGACTTGAGAAGACTTGATCCTTAGACTCGTTGACAAATTAACAATTAAGCACTCTTAAATCTTCATTCTTTCTGTTCTGATTGTAATGATTAACGCGCTTGTCAAGCTATTTAAAAAGAAAACAATTGCTTTTCTACTCTTATATAAATGCTCATATACCATGACTTTTTAAAGTACAACTTAGTTTAAAATTAATATAAATAGCAAAAATTTAAGCTATATTTGGTTCTTTGGTTTAAAGAATTGAAGCTCAAAGCAGATGACTTGGACTTGACTTGGACTTTTGGACTTGAGACTCAGCTTGGACTTGCTTGTCTTTGACTTGTGACTTGACTCAGACTTAAGGTCAAAGACTTGAGACTTACTTGAGACTTGGAAAACAACAATTTGGTCCCACCTCTGCATGTTTGTAAAGAGAAGAGTAAATAATCCTGCCTGGACAAGTGAGGTTTAAGATGGACAATAGGCTCATTTGACATATTGGTGCATCATCTGCAGCCTCCTGTATGAGGACAGAGCACGCTGGTGGGACTGTTGGCTGATAAGATGGCAGATGATTCTTGAAATGGGTCAAACGCAGATGACAAAGTAAAGCTTATACTGGGCTGAAAGTGTGCTAACCTAGACTCCTGGTACTGATTAGGTATAGGGCATGTTTCATTGAAAATTCTAGTAATAATAAGGGCTGCTAAATTAATCATGCTCATATTGAAATCATAATTTAAATTGTGAAAATAAGCATATCTCAGATGTGTGGATTTCTTTATTAAAAAACTCGATATAAGAGAGAAATTAGGAAAATTTTCTCTGTTGGGTTCATAGACTGTATGACTGGGTTACAAAATATTATTGGTATGCCTGGATTATCCATGGCATTAAACCAAAATTTTTTTTTAATCCTATTTTTTTCTTTTTTTTTTAACTTAAGTTTGCTTAAGTTTGCTTTATTTTATTCACATGTTCTACACACCAGTCCTGCATATTTATGTTGAACTGGAAACACACTGTTCCATGTGATGTCAAGCGGTAATACAGGAAGTGCTCCACTGTGTTTTTAAACTCCATACACCTTCACAGCTGGATGATTGCAGACCTGGAATAGCCAATCTTTAGTGAACAAATGGTAAAATAAAGGTAAAAGGTAGCTGAAAATTATGGCATTTGGAGCTTTGGAGATGTAGACAGCCTAATAATAAAGGATTACAGGATTAAAGTATGTTTTTGATGAGGTAACAACATTATGTATGTGAAGCTAAAAAGTTGTCCTTGTGACATATAATATATATTTCGGCTAATAATTATGAATCCATCAGCTCAACATTATAACATGATTTTATTACAGTTGCAGTTAATGGTAATAAGTTTTTTAAAATTTAAAATATTATCATTACACAAATTAATATGAATATGTAAGAGTGTTCGAAGTCTGAGAGTTTTATTGAGTGCACGTGTCTTTGCTATATTTATTCCAAGGGTAATTCTTTTACATTGTGCCAAAGAATTAATTTACCTCTTCTGAAAACACATTATTGACTATTCATGAGTCACCTTTCGCAGTGAAAATCAGCGATCATCCCCAAAAGCTGTTGAGGGCTAAGCCAGGATCAAAAACACAATGCAATGAAAGGCTGCAGATTCACAGTCCCAGGAGAGAAAGCTATTGTGGATTTGTAATAGACAGAAGTGTGTGTGTGACAGGGTAGCTTGGCCTATTCCCCTTATCCACCACACATCCTTCACAAAACCCTCCTAAATTGACCTTAATACCCCTCTTGTTTGATGTTATGAAATTACATGAACATAAAATGTAAAAAAAAAAGTGCAAAAACAGCCTTAGTGCGAGGTTTGTTATTGTCAGCAAGATATCTGTCAGGTACAGAAAGTGACAAACGAATAAAAAGATGTGTTGAAACGAAATAAAGT